CCTGTTTCCTCGTTAGCAGCAGCGGTCGCCTCTGACATCACTGCAGGTAAACGAAGCTTCCTCCAATCCAGACAAAGGCTCAGAGTTGACCTCAGGGTTTTTCCTCAGACAGATGCATGACTTTTCCTGTGTTTACCTCCAGCAGACAGACTAACGCAGTCAACCCAGAGCCGAGCTGCATGGTAAAAAGTAGAGTGAGTCAGACTCCATCCTGTCAATCACACCCAGCATCCACTGGCCCAGTTTTAGCAGGCCGGCTGATGTAAGCAGCCTCAGTCGGCTGAATGCAGGGAGACGTTGAGCTGTTAGGAACTGTATATTACTGCTTTATTAAAAAACAGTAATGTTTTCACCCTCCCAGTGCCTCATTGGACCTGAGGACTTGATGCTTTGTGGGTTTCCATGGTGACAGTTGCATATAGAATAAACTATCTTTTTAAAGTTTTAAGCCACCAAATCCACACACAAAATTTTCTGTAAAACAAAGCCAAAGATGTTTTTTTATTCTCCTGGATTTTCAAACAAAGCCGTAAATGTTCCTCAGGGTCAGAGGTGAGTTTCTGGCTTCTGCCTCGGGTCTCCGTCCTTTAAAGATGGAAGAAACTGAGCTGATCAATGCTTCGCCTGCAGTCCCCTACTCAGGAGCAGCAAAACCATCCATCCATCCATCCATCCATCCATCCATCCATCCATCCATCATCCATCCATCCATCCATCCATCCATCCATCCATCCATCCATCCATCCATCATCCATCCATCCATCCATCCATCCATCCATCCATCCATCCATCCATCATCCATCCATCATCCATCCATCATCCATCCATCCATCCATCCATCATCCATCCATCCATCCATCCATCCATCCATCCATCCATCCATCCATCCATCCATCCATATTCCATCCATCATCCATCCATCCATCCATCCATCCATCCATCCATCCATCCATCCATCCATCCATCCATCCATCATCCATCCATCCATCATCCATCATCCATCCATCCATCATCCATCCATCCATCATCCATCCATCCATCATCCATCCATCCATCATCCATCCATCCATCCATCCATCCATCCATCATCCATCCATCCATCCATCCATCCATCCATCCATCCATCCATCCATCATCCATCCATCCATCCATCCATCCATCCATCCATCCATCCATCCATCCATCATCCATCCATCCATCATCCATCCATCCATCATCCATCCATCCATCATCCATCCATCCATCCATCATCCATCCATCCATCATCCATCCATCCATCCATCCATCCATCCATCCATCATCCATCCATCCATCCATCCATCCATCCATCCATCCATCCATCATCCATCCATCCATCCATCCATCATCCATCCATCCATCATCCATCCATCCATCCATCCATCCATCCATCCATCATCCATCCATCCATCATCCATCCATCCATCATCCATCCATCCATCCATCATCCATCCATCCATCCATCCATCCATCCATCCATCATCCATCATCCATCCATCCATCCATCCATCCATCCATCCATCCATCCATCATCCATCCATCCATCCATCCATCCATCCATCCATCCATCCATCCATCCATCATCCATCCATCCATCCATCCATCCATCATCCATCCATCCATCCATCCATCATCCATCCATCCATCCATCCATCCATCCATCCATCCATCATCCATCCATCCATCCATCCATCCATCCATCCATCATCCATCCATCCATCCATCCATCCATCCATCCATCCATCCATCCATCCATCCATCCATCCATCATCCATCATCCATCCATCCATCCATCCATCCATCCATCCATCCATCCATCCATCATCCATCCATCCATCCATCCATCCATCCATCCATCATCCATCCATCCATCCATCCATCATCCATCCGTCCATCCATCCATCCATCCATCCATCCATCATCCATCCATCCATCATCCATCCATCCATCCATCCATCATCCATCCATCCATCCATCCATCCATCCATCATCCATCCGTCCATCCATCCATCCATCCATCCATCCATCCATCATCCATCCATCCATCCATCCATCATCCATCCATCCATCATCCATCCATCCATCCATCCATCCATCCATCATCCATCATCCATCCATCCATCCATCCATCCATCATCCATCATCCATCCATCCATCCATCCATCCATCCATCCATCCATCCATCCATCCATCATCCATCCGTCCATCATCCATCCATCCATCCATCCATCCATCCATCCATCCATCCATCCATCCATCATCCATCCATCCATCCATCCATCCATCCATCCATCCATCCATCCATCATCCATCCATCCATCCATCCATCCATCCATCCATCATCCATCCATCATCCATCCATCATCCATCCATCCATCCATCCATCATCCATCCATCCATCCATCCATCCATCCATCCATCCATCCATCCATCCATCCATCATCCATCCGTCCATCCATCCATCCATCCATCCATCATCCATCATCCATCCATCCATCCATCCATCCATCCATCCATCATCCATCATCCATCCATCCATCCATCCATCCATCCATCCATCCATCCATCCATCCATCATCCATCCATCCATCATCCATCCATCCATCCATCCATCCATCATCCATCCATCCATCCATCCATCCATCATCCATCCATCCATCCATCCATCCATCCATCCATCCATCCATCCATCCATCCATCCATCCATCATCCATCCATCCATCCATCCATCCATCCATCCATCATCCATCCATCCATCCATCCATCATCCATCCATCCATCCATCCATCCATCCATCCATCCATCATCATCCATCATCCATCCATCCATCCATCCATCCATCCATCCATCATCCATCCATCCATCCATCCATCCATCCATCATCCATCCATCCATCCATCCATCCATCCATCCATCATCCATCCATCCATCCATCCATCCATCCATCCATCCATCCATCCATCATCCATCCATCATCCATCCATCCATCCATCCATCATCCATCCATCCATCCATCCATCATCCATCCATCCATCCATCCATCATCCATCCATCATCCATCCATCCATCCATCCATCCATCCATCCATCATCCATCCATCATCCATCCATCCATCCATCCATCATCCATCCATCCATCCATCCATCATCCATCCATCCATCCATCCATCCATCCATCCATCCATCATCCATCCATCCATCCATCATCCATCCATCCATCCATCATCCATCCATCCATCCATCCATCCATCCATCCATCCATCCATCCATCATCCATCCATCCATCATCCATCCATCATCCATCCATCCATCATCCATCCATCCATCATCCATCCATCCATCCATCCATCCATCCATCCATCATCCATCCATCATCCATCCATCCATCATCCATCCATCCATCATCCATCCATCCATCCATCCATCCATCCATCCATCCATCATCCATCCATCCATCCATCCATCATCCATCCATCCATCCATCATCCATCCATCCATCCATCATCCATCCATCCATCCATCCATCCATCATCCATCCATCCATCCATCCATCCATCCATCCATCATCCATCCATCCATCCATCATCCATCCATCCATCCATCCATCCATCCATCCATCATCCATCCATCCATCCATCCATCCATCCATCCATCCATCATCCATCCATCCATCCATCCATCCATCCATCCATCCATCCATCCATCATCCATCCATCCATCCATCCATCCATCCATCCATCATCCATCCATCCATCCATCCATCCCTCCATCATCCATCCATCCATCCATCATCCATCCATCCATCCATCCATCCATCCATCCATCATCCATCCATCCATCCATCATCCATCCATCCATCCATCCATCCATCATCCATCCATCCATCCATCCATCCATCCATCATCCATCCATCCATCCATCCATCCATCCATCCATCATCAGTCTTTCAGAGAAGCTAAGCTAACCTACAGGAATCTTTAGTTTTTCAGAGGATTCGATCATTTTCATAATTGACTGCATCCATATTGATCTTTTCTTCTATCTTAGTGAAGATTTTTTTATTTATTTATTAATACTTAGCCTTTCCTGATCACAACTCAAATGAACTCAAGGTGTTTTTTAACAATGTATAAATAATAACTACAATATAACTGATAATGCTGATCATCTTGTCTTCGGTCATTAGAGGGTTGCACACTCTAATTAAAGTTGTCCCCTGCATCGATGTCTAAGGCACCGGCAGGCTGCTGCTGCACTCAGGGAGCCTTCTGGGGCTTCTTTGTGGTTTTTAGAGGAAACCTAGTGTTGCTATAGATGTCTGTGACCAATCATAGTCCCTCGTGGTAGATGCCTCCACTCTGTGTGAAAACAAGACTTTATAGCAGTGCAGGTGAAACCGTCTGTGCACGGACCACTCAGATAAACACGGCAAAAAAAGAACCAAATGATGCTGCAGCTGCTGATGATCATCATGGTGCCTTTAAACTGGGCTGCACAACATGTGAGAATCCTTTGTTGGTCTTTCTTTCTGTAGTTCTCTGTGCTGCCGCCTCCACGCCGATACATGTTGCCTTAACGCTGAGGTGAAGAGTGGGAGGCAGAGGGCAAACTGAGAGGCCTACGAGAGGGATGGAGAGCCGCAGAAGAAAAGAGTGTGTGGGAGACCGAGGCAGAGCTTCACATAGAGAGAGAGACTAGATAGATAGATAGATAGATAGATAGATAGATAGATAGATAGATAGATAGATAGATAGATAGATAGATAGATAGATAGATAGATAGATAGATATGCTTAGATAGATAGATATGCATAGATAGATACATAATACAGATTGAGATGGATAGAGGCTATTTTGTGGCTCCAAAGTCTTTAGAGGCTCCACAGCTACAAGCAATGCAAATAGGAGGCAGATATAAGAAGAGAAAGAGGAAGAAAGGAGAGATGGAGGGAGGCTGAAGTGAGGTAAATAGAAACTGGAAGGGAGAGCAGGAGGAGGAGGAGGAGGGTTTGCGTCGGTGTGTTGGTTGGCAGAGAGAGCTTGTCAAAAAAAAAACCCTCTGACAGAAGGCATGATTCACAGCAGAGCCAGAGAGAAGCAGAGAGGGAGGGAGACAAGCGACAGAACAACAAACGGCAGGAAGAGGTAGAGAAGGAAGGGATGCAGGAGAGACCCGAGCAGAAAGGATGCTGATGATGAGAGCGCATCGCCAGGATGGAGCTACAAGCACTACTGCTCCGGATTCACCCAGTTATTCCCCGACTGCGACCATGTTGATCAGGTTCTGACTGTCGTCCATCCTGTGGTTCTGTGTGTGTGTGTGTGTTGTGGGGGGGGGGGGGGGGGGGGGGGGGGGGTGTAGAGCAGGGGGAGGCAGCAGTGACAGAGCGGAGCAGAGGAAGGAGAGGGTCTCCTCTATCAATAGGCTCCTTTGACACAGGTTTCCATCACTGCTGCATGTCAATGAGGCGCCGGCGATTTTATCCTGCAGTTAAACTGATATTTATTGATGTCATCAACATTCCAGATGTTTCTCATGTTCAGTTTTCTTCTCATTAGCTATTAGCTGCTGTAACTTCTCAGCGCTGAGGGAATGGTTGTTCTGAGGCGTCTGTCTCCAGAGGGATGGTGGATTGAAGGGGAAACATGTTTGGTCAGGGTGTGTTATAAAGCTTTCTTTGGTTTTATTCATCTAAATCAAAGTCTTTCAGTTTATCCATTTATTTAAATGTTAGAATCTAAACATCTTTCATTGTGCGACTGCTAGGTGACGGTTCCTCTAAGATACAACTTCCTTAAAGTTCCCCACAGGAATTACTGCGCGTCTAAATTTAGCTCTGCGTTTGGCTCATCCATGCAGGCTGAGATTCCAGCTTTTCTTTCCTTACCTGCAGGAGCAATGAGATGTGGGACATGCTGGGATAAGCCAAGGATGAATATGTGATGCTAAAAGGGATTAGAGTGGAAATTAGACTGTTGTAGTTTATCCTAAAAATCACCCATAGGATACAGTTCCTGTCTTTCTAGGTAAATAAACCATAAACACCTGTTCTCCAAATAACCAGAGGTTCCTGGAAATCAGAAATCTGTCAGGGAGAGTCTGATGCTTTGCTCCAGTCCTGGTGTCACAATCCAACATGGCTCCCAGGAAGTGGCGGGACAAAGTTTTTGGTTGATTTTGTTCGCATTAAATCCTTTGAACTTATGGCTCTGATGAACCTCTGAGCAAAATATGAGAGGAAAGATGATGCTGGTCCATATCAGGTCACCACTGGAGTTCAACATGGCTGCCAACCATTGGACTGAATGACGTCATATTAAACATGATGTCCCACAACTGGAAGCGACATGCTGTGCAGAGTTCAAATGAAGGAAGCGAATGTCATTTGCATTTCAGACAGGATTCATTTCGACTTCTTCACTGAAACCGAACTTTTATAGAAGTTAGAGGATCAACTTCAACTTTTTCCTCCAGTAGAAATTTAAAAGTACCATTTTTAAAACTACTTAAAGTATAAAAGTGAAAATAATACAGAAAATAAACTGTTAAGGCAGGGGTCATTGATGATGTCACGGGCTCGGGACACGCAGCGCTGGGATGAAATGTCTTTCATGGAGGGAAGAGGAGCCCCCATGATCCTCTCTGCTGTTCTCACCTTCTTCCAGTCTGAGGCGCTGCAGCCTCCACACCACACAGTGAGACAGCTGCTCAGAACGCTCTCTATGGGGGGGAGGATGGGGGGGGCAGGAAGTCCAAGCGCTTCTGGGCCCTTTGGACCAGTGAGGTGGTGTTTCCAGTCCAGGTGAGGGTGTCTGTGATGAATGTGGTGCTGCTGACCACCTCTACAGCTGAGCTGTTGATGAGCAGTGGAGCGTGGTTAGGCCGCTTCTTCCTGAAGTCCACCATGATCTCCTTGGTCTTCTCCACCTTCAGGATCAGGCTGTTATCTCTGCTCCACCAGCTGCTCCACCTCCTCTCTGTAGTCCAGGTCGTTGTCGTCTCTGATGAGGCCCACCGCCGTGGTGTCGTCTGCAAACTTCACCGTGTGATCGGTGGTGAACCTGGGGACGCAGTCGAGTGTCATCAGGGTGAACAGCAGGGGGCTCCGGACGCAGCCCTGAGGGGAGGGGCTTAGACTGATGACATCAGAGGTCCGACCCGGACTGACTGAGGTCTGTTGGTGAGGAAGTCTAGCAGCCAATAGCAGAGGGGTGTATTGAAGCCCAGCTGTTCCAGTTTGCCCATCAGATGCTGTGGGATGATGGCGCTGAAAGCTGAACTGAAGTCCAGGAACAGCATCCATCGTAGGTGTTCTTCTCCTCCAGGTGTGCCAGGCTCAGGTGGAGAGCAGCAGAGATGGCGTCCTCAGTGGAGCGGTTCCGTCGGTAGGCGAACTAGAGCGGCAAAAAATACCAACAACAATTAATATCCTATGCATTTATTATAGGGAAGAAAAATAGTCTTGATGTTTTGGAGAAAATCAGAGCTTCCTTTGGTTCTATTGTGGCTGGAGGAACTGGCTAGGCTTTGTCATTTGGAGAGAATTCGGTTCTCATTAGCAAATAACTTTAATCGATACGATAGAACTTGGCAACTCCTTCGGCTAAATGTTGAAAACTCGATTTGAAAAGAATTTGATTTGATTCTCGGTGTAATAAGATATAAGTCTGAGGGAAAGGGGTGGTTAAATTATGTCACTTTTATTTTGTTTTGTCTTTGTTTTATGTTCACCTCAAAAAGAGGATTTTTTTTTATTTTTGTGGTTTAATTTTTCATATCTGATTCCTCAATAAAACTTTGATACAAAAATGAATTGTTGTTATTAGGCTGCATCATTTATCCTGTGTACAATTATTAAATGCAGTAGCTATAATCTGGTTAAAGCAGTTTATTGTAAGGACAACGCTTCACAGGAAACATCAGAAACAAGATTATTTTCCTGTTTAAAAGCTGCTGGTTTTTAAGATGCTTTCCATGGTCTTAATGTTCTTTGTTTTTCTGCAGGAGCCATTAATCATCAGAGCCCAGCAGAATGCACCTCGCAGGTCCGGCTGGATCCCACCGTCCGTCCAACTGGCTGTTTTCTGTTGATTTGTGTCAAACGGACAAACGCTCTGCTGGAAGGACATTTAATTGGCTCTAAACAGAACAATAAACACAATGCTGCCATGATGTGAGGAGAGTGGGAGGGAAGATGAGCTTCCAAAGTGAAAATGGCTGCTTCTGTTTTTTGTTTTTGTGCTTTTTGGATCTAATTGGAAAATGATTCTTCAGTTTGAACTTCATGGTGTTTATGATGCTCTTCTGACATGGAGTCTTCGACAGAAGGACGTTTGTTGAACTTTCAAGCTTCAATGGGAAGAATCTTCTGACCCCTCCAGAAAACAGATGGGACATTGTTAAGTTGTGAACTGGAGATTTTTAAACAGGGACTTTGGTTGATGTCTCATACGGTCTTCCTGAGGAACGCTGCTGCACGTCTCGCACAGTCTGCTGTAGTTTGAAAAACATTTTTACCCAAATTCAGTCCAGAAAAAGACCTCACAATTCGCTCTTCAAGCTGTAGACGTGCCTCCCACCAACCCCCCCCACCAAACATGGGCAAGCCTCTCAGCCGTCCGGGGTGTTTCAGGAAGAGCTCCTGCTGCCTGGAGAAACACGGCCTAGGGGATGGGGGAGTGGGAGGCCGGGATTTGGGGATGGAGGGGGGTTATGGGGATGGTTACGTGCCTCAGAGATCCATTTATGACACCATGTGCATCAACCAGCAGATTGACAACCATCACCACCACTCTGGGGGGTTGGTGAGGCGGGATGGAGGTGGAGACGGGAGCTTTAGCTACTCCATGAGTGGCTCTCTGAGAGTGAGCAGGTCAGACATGTTTGATCCTCAGCCACGCTGTTTGACTCCAAACCCGTCCTTTGTCCAGCGCCTGGATGAGAGAGCCATCTATGACTCCCTGAAGCTGGGAGCAGAGGACATAGATGGCTGTCACCCTCAGGGCCATTTGAACCGATCCGTTTCTCCCTCCGTGTCCTCATTCTCTGCACCAGGAGTGTCCTCCTCATCAAAGAAACACCACAATCACCACCATCACCATGGAGACAGCACAAAAAGCAGAGAGAGCCGTCATTCCTGGAAAGCAATGTCATCTCCAAAGCCCTTGGAGTGTGTGGAGATACCTACGCCAGAGATGATGGACAGAGGAGGAGGAGGAGGCTATCTGAATCCAGGCCACTACCCTGCTGCAGGCCAGTCCTCCTCTCTCACCTCCCCACTCATCTCTCCCTTCTCTGGCTCCCCTCTGTCGACAGGATACCACACTCCCGTATTTTTCTCTCCAGCCAAACCTCGTCCCAGTCAGAGCCAGAGCCTACGCTGCTCCCCTCCCCATGTGATCCAGCCAAGACATTATTCCCAAACCCAGAGCCTGAGGCTTTCCCCCCCACATGAGCTCAGAAGGTCCCCCTACAGGGCCCCCCTGGTCCAACTGTCTGCTCATGACCTGGAGCAGGACCTCAGGGAGCGAGGAAGTGGATGGGGCCGCGGTGAACGTGACAGGGACTGGGAGAGGGAGCGGGAACGGGAGATGGAGCGGGGATGGGCCCAGCGAGAGTGGGAGAGGGAGAGAGAGAGGGGAAGGCTTGAAAGGGAGAGAGCCAGAGAAAGGGAGAGAAGGGAGACATCCACTTTCGGGACCTTTGGATATGGCCGACCTGTTCCTCTGCGCTCCGACCGGGACTCTGTGTTTATAGAGTCCGACCACGGTTTGGACACGACTCCTCTGCTGCTGCCCCAGCCCTCAGCCTCCCCCTCCCCCTCCCCCAGTGGGGCTCCCAGAATGGGTACGGGAGCAGTAGGCAGGAACCGAGCTGGGTCAAAGGTCGGCCCTGAAGGTGTCGGTGGAGGGATGTTTTCTAGGTGCGACAGCGGGAGTGTTAGTTTGATGTTGGTGGACTGTAAGTCCGGGTGCGGGCCCAGATTAGTCAGTGAAGTCATAACTGGAAACATTTCTGAAGCCGAATTGAGGTCAGGTAACCAGGAGCACAATCAAGCTGAAAGCTGGAACAAATTTGACAACGGATCCAGGTCTAGTGTAAAGAACAAACCTGAAAAGAGGATGGGCTCCCAAGTGAAAACACGCCCTGGGGGTCGAGATCTGGAGGGAAAAGTGCAGTCAGGGATGGAGCATAAAGCGGAACACAAAAGATTAACAGAGAGTGTCGAGAAAACTGGTGGAGATAGAGCTAGACAAGAACGTCTACCTGAACCCAAGAAAACAAGCGTCAATGAGAAGAATGTTGATCCTGTTGACAAAGTTCAGTTTGAAACTACAGTCATTCATGAAAGCCAGCTGGAGCTTCAGCCAGCGGCTAAAATTAACTCCCAACCAGAGGAAAATAGGGTTGGAACAGAGGATGAACCTGAACTAACATCGAATGTTGTTTTAACATCTGAGTCCAGAGTAGAGGCTAAACCTGACCCTAAGATTGCTCCTGTTTCCAAGTCAGGGGCAAAGCCGGAGGCGGCGATCAGTGACGGAGGAGTGAAAGAGAGTGAGAGTGACAACCAGGCTGAAACCAAAGGGGAGCCTCAGCCAGGCTCCATGGCAGGAGATACACCTGAAACTGCACCTGTAGACCAGGAAGGGAAAAAGCTTGAAGACACTGACACGCCAAAATCAAGTCATGCTCTGAAAAGCTCCAGATCCAAGTCCAAATCATCCAAGTCCTGCTCCAGGTCTCGACCAGGCACAGCCACAGGGATGCGCCCAGGAGTGCTGAGCCCCAGAGAAAGCAAAAGGCTAGGAGACTTTGACTCAACTGCCCCACCTGAGGGCACTGAGTTCACCTGGCCTCGCAGAGTCATGGTCCGAAAGAGGACTGTCCGTCAGGGAGGGGCACTACACAATCTCCCTATCCTCCCTCCACTTCCTTCTGTACTGTCAGCACTGGAGAAGAGGCATCCACACCTGCGCCACGGTTCAGAGAACCCCTTATCGAATCTGATGAATCCCATTGTAGGACGATGCTCACTGAGGGAGCCGGCTCACCCGGAGCCAGGACAGGGCAGCGGTTTGGTAGGCCGAGCCTCCCTGAGGGAGCAGAACTTGGAGCACTGGAGGGTCTGCAGAGAGCAAGAGGAGCCCAGGAGGTCCAGAAGTCGTGACAAACGAGGGGAGCAGAATAAGGAGAAGGCAGAGAAACAGGAAAAGAAAGAAAAGGAAGAGAAGAAAGAAGAACCACTGAACAATGAGAAGGAAGCTCCATTGGACATCAAACAAGACAAGGTGGAGATGAAGGTGGAGGAAAAAAATCTGCAAAATAATTTGAAAAACAAGGAAAAGGAAAAAGAGACGGATCTAGAAATAAAGTCTGAAAAATTGGATGATATAGGAATACAAATTAAAGTTGGTTCAAAAGAAGTACAGGAGCAAGAAAATGGGGCAGAAAGCAAACTAAACCTAGAAGGTGAGGCAGATGGAAGATACAGAACGAATCCTGCAGTGGAAGGAGGTGTGGAGGGTTGGGACGCTGTTCTTGACATGGTCAACACGCTTTGGGATGACAGCTGGGAGAAACATGAAGCAGGTGGAGAAGATGCAGATTCCCCTCCAGGCTCCCTGCAGTGTTGGCCTCTCCTCCGGCCTCCCATCGGCTTTGGGGGCTCTCACCCTCCCTCCTCAGCAGCCTCTGAGCTCAGCCTCACAGAGCTGGAGAGGAGGGCCCGGGAGCTGGACTCGGACCTCGAACACCTGGATCTATCAGAGCCTCACAAAGATTTATACCAACCACCGATGGAACCAGGGAGGGAACGAGCCGACATGTACCAAACACATCCTGGGCCCCAAAGAGACAAGACCCCCCTTCACACAGGTATTCCAGGTGTAACCTACTCCATGTCTTTTGTTTAGACTTCCTTTCCTCCTTGTTTAGTCCATTCTGATCGTTCAGTGCATTTCAGTACGTTGTCATCTTACCTACTTCTCAGGACAATTGGGTCCAACTAATATCTAAGGGTTTAGACAACAACAAAATACATAAATTATAATTTACTACAATCAAAATTTAGTAATGTATCAGTATTTGATTAAAAAGTAATCTATGTAGAGTTATGTGGATTCTTTAACTATGCAACTCCTCCTCCAGAGCAAGCATGCAGTGGGATTGGATCAGAATGTCTGCATATTCATGCAAACAAGTTTTGGCGAAGGGGTGGCCTATGGTTAGGGCATGGTGCTTCGGTCCCAGAGGTTCTGAGTTCAAGCCCACTCCCACAGCCTGACACGTGAATGAAAACGGACATTTGACTGGACTTATAACAGAAAACATTACAAAAATAAAGACTGAAAGCATGTTAACAGGGTAAACTAGAGATGAAGACAAAGAACATCATCTGATGGAGGTTTCTTCCTGTTATAAGGGAGTTTTTCCTCTCCACTGTCGCTACAAGCATGCTTAGTGTGAGGGATTGCTGAAGAGTCAATGAGTCGATGCAATCAGCTGGTTTTCCTTAGATAGAAAACTTTGAATCAATCTGACTGGATGATCTGGTGAACTGGAAAGTGACCTGAGATGACATGATGGGAATTGGAGCTATAGAAATAAACTGAATAGAACTGAATTATACTTCCATGGCCACATTATCACCTTAGCATCTCTCATTTATAAAAGCATAAGTGTGACTTGTTTGTCTATATTTGCAGTTTGTCCCATGTCAAATCAGCCCAGAGTGCAGGGAGATATCCACCGTCTCCACGAGCAACAGCTTAGTTTATGTTCAAAGGTTATTAAAGAAAGATCAGACAGGACAGAGTTGAGAAGAAAAACTCAGTTGTTCACCTTGAATGCCTTGTTTCAGCTTGAGATCCAGAGTATGACGACAGGGGCGAATAGATCTGCAAATGGTGTGAACAATTGGATACCAGTTAACTTTAAGGACGAAATTAACACTTTCAGAGCCAACATGGAGGCTCAAATTATGATTAGTAGGGGATGATCATAACCTTAATCAGCATTTATTCATATAATAGGTCAAAGTATTGTAAGACCTGTTGGATGATGCAGTTTTAGTGATTTTCAGTTTAAATGAGGAGATTACGGATTAGGTATTTAAAAGCAAAAAAGAACAGTTCCAGAGAACAAGCAGGAGTCTGGAGCCAGATCAGGCAAACAGATCAGAACAGGAAGGCTCAGAGGTCCAGGAGACCGAAGCCAGGCAACCCCATCCTTCATTTGGTCTCACTCTGATCTTTATATTCTTATTTAAGCACCAGTTCGTAGCGTATGGGTCTCCCAATGACAGCAGGTCATCCTGTGTTCTCATTGGTCCCACTCCCACTGGAATACCAGCCCACCCAGGATCGTGTCCACCGGCCTGTCCTTCTCTGAGAATAACTGTGAAGCAATGCATTGTTTTTTTTTTTCAATAATTATTAAACCAACCTTTTTCTAAAGCTTGGATGTACTGGATGCTGTGGTTACTAAGGCGTCCAATGTGTTCAATATCTTTTCAGGAGTTTGCAGCAGATCCCAGGTCAGTTTGGAGCTAAATGTGATGGCTTCCACGCCGACTGACACTGACAGGACAACGAGTGACTGGTCTAAATCTGCCAGCACTCCCACAGTGGGACTGAGGTAATTTCTGAATCTAAACTTGTTTTTATTCTTAATCCCTATTATCTTTCAGAAAGTGATGAATTGTTTTCACATTACATTGTTTTATTCACCATAGTAAAGCAGGACAATTTTATTTTAATCAATACTTTAGTGAGCTTCGTTTGCTGTTAATGTTTCTGATAAATATCATTTGCTGCTTCAAACCCAGGACTGCCTTTAAAAAGAGATTTTAAATCTAAGTTGCACTTTTCTGGTTAAATGTTAAGATAAATAAAGGTGAAATAAAATACAGCACATTTCTAAAGAGTGATGACTTACATGTTAGGGAATGGTCCGAACATGGAGCCCTGAGGCACACCACATGTTATATGCTGATTCTACAGTTTCTAGATTTGGTTAAAGGAAAAGATTCTGTCTTTTTCTGTAAAATCTATGTCTAAGACTGTTTTTAAAAAACTTAATCTGAAATGTTTTTAGTCTGTTTCAAATGGATTAAAGGGAACAACTACGAGTTTTAATTCCTTCAGTAAACTTAAAGTTTGTGCTTGTGGTTTGCCAGGTACGCTAATGCTAATGCTAACCAAACCAAAGCAAACGCTTAGTTTACATATTTGGAGAAGAAAGTGTCTAACTTTGCATTCCCTCTGATGTTTAACAGATGCTCAGCCTCACGTCACTTCTTAATGTTTTTATTTTGGCTTGAATCTGAAAGATGGATCCCTGAGTGTCATGAATCGGTGTTTGTATGGAGGACACAAACGCAGAGACCAGTAGGCAGAGGTGAATTAAAGTGGTTTTATTAAAGTTCACAGATCAAGGAGCAGGAATCAGGGTCCAAAAGAAAACAGCAAACGAACCTCAACCAAGGAGACATCAGTGGTAAATCCAAACTAGGAGCCAGGGAGAGACGAGGTACACAGACAGAAGTTAGACAGGATGTTTGACGAGGATCCAGCAAACAGGAACTGAACAGGGAGGGCTTTTAAAGGGGACAGAGACAGAGAGAGAGCTGACCAGGAAATTGGCAACAGGTGCTTGGCAGGACAGAGAAACAGAGCAAGGGAGGACACAAGAGGGCAGCAGAGGACAACAAATGGATAACGAAGGAAAACAGGAACAATCAGACCAGGACCATGACACTGAGAGAAAGAAGAAGCTAATTCTTCGCTCTTTCACAGACACATTAGCATCTGGCAACACCTGAACTCCAGCTGCTATTGGATGCTTATATATTAATTCCACAAATAAAGAGTCTGATGAAAAGCTTGTAGCTGTGACCTTTAAAGGTATTTTGGAGGATTTTCTAATTTTTGGGACGTGTGAAAGCTTTCACTAGTCCATTTCTCCTTATGCACGCTCAGTTTAGAAGTTGGTGTTCTCATCCAAGCTTACTGTGTCTGACCGTCCGCCTTAACCCATAAATCCCTCCATCACTATAGAGTGGAGACTATATAGTAAACTTTATAGTGAACTCAGTTAACTGACCATTCAGACAGATAATCACTGCTTTTTGCTCCGTTGGTCACGTAACTCCTCCTCCACCGCGCGGTGCCTGCGCCATCTTTGTTATTAGTCGGTAGCAACAGCGGGACGCTGTGACAGTAAATCCCATAATGCTTTGCGAGGAGAGTGCTCCGTGCAAAGCATTCTGGGATATATCTGCCTCTTCTGAGGCCTTGCTTTTCTTACATTGAGACACTTTTTGTCGTCCGACCTTCAGCCAATTTTCAAAGAATGGCGGTGAGAAAGGTGAGCTTCAATGACTGTCCGCCTGGTTGCCTGAAAGAAACAGATAGCTAACGGTACGAGCACGTAGGACGACCTACGTAAACACATCACCAGAATGATTGACAGTTAGGAGGACCACTGATTGAGATGATCCACCTGGAAATAAAAGGTTGTCCTCTACACCTTTAATAAACGATGACATTGATCAGTAGGACAGTAGAGTGGGAGAACCGTTGCCAGGTCTCCGGTGCTGCTGCAGATGATTCAGGGTCTATAGCTGAAGTGGAGTCAGAGACTCCTGAGTACGATGCAGTTTTAGTTTTAGGAGATCTCGCCCTCCTTATTAATGCCTGACTGAAAATGATTTGTTTTTGGGCACTTTCATCCTAACGGCTATACGGCGGTATATGGCTATACCAGTGCCCACAGCTACCGTGCTCTACTTACAGACGTCTGTAAACCTCTGAGCATAAATGTGAAACATTTTCAAACACCTCTTTAGATGTGGATGTTTGATGACTCAGTGAGCCGTTTAAAATGGAAATGGAAAATCAAATAAATTGTGCTTTTATTTTACAGAGCTGTTATCATAGATGAGCTCACTATAATGGAACAACAAGATGAGTGTCTCTGCCCTTTGAGAGAACCGGAACATTTAGAATCTACCGGCAGCTCAGTCTGGCTTCATGCTGCCGGCAATAAAACCACCGATTCATCTGGTTGGTTAAAATATTATTGGCTGATTTCAGCACAACTGAGGACCGTTAGTTAGATTTGGTCAGATTAGTAATTACATCCATCCATCATCCATCCATCCATCATCCATCCATCCATCATCATCCATCCATCATCCATCCATCATCCATCCATCCATCCATCATCCATCCATCCATCCATCCATCCATCCATCCATCATCCATCATCCATCCATCCATCATCCATCCATCCATCCATCCATCCATCCATCCATCCATCATCCATCCATCAACCATCCATCCATCCATCCATCCATCATCCATCCATCCATCATCCATCCATCCATCATCCATCCATCCATCCATCCATCCATCCATCATCCATCCATCCATCATCCATCCATCCATTCATCCATCCATCATCCATCATCCATCCATCCATCCATCCATCATCCATCCATCCATCCATCCATCCATCATCCATCCATCCATCATCCATCCATCCATCATCCATCCATCCATCCATCCATCCATCCATCCATCCATCATCCATCCATCATCCATCCATCCATCATCCATCCATCCATCCATCCATCCATCATCCATCCATCCATCCATCCATCCATCATCCATCCATCCATCCATCATCCATCCATCCATCATCCATCCATCCATCATCCATCCATCCATCCATCCATCCATCCATCCATCCATCCATCATCCATCCATCATCCATCCATCCATCATCCATCCATCCATCATCCATCCATCCATCATCCATCCATCCATCCATCCATCCATCATCCATCCATCATCCATCCATCCATCATCCATCCATCCATCCATCCATCCATCCATCATCCATCCATCCATCCATCCATCATCCATCCATCCATCATCCATCCATCCATCCATCCATCCATCCATCCATCCATCACCATCCATCATCCATCCATCCATCATCCATCCATCCATCCATCCATCATCCATCCATCCATCATCCATCCATCCATCCATCCATCCATCATCCATCCATCCATCCATCCATCCATCCATCCATCCATCCATCCATCCATCCATCCATCCATCATCCATCCATCCATCATCCATCCATCATCCATCCATCCATCCATCATCCATCCATCCATCCATCATCCATCCATCCATCCATCCATCATCCATCCATCCATCCATCCATCATCCATCCATCATCCATCCATCCATCATCCATCCATCCATCCATCCATCCATCCATCCATCCATCATCCATCCATCCATCATCCATCCATCCATCCATCCATCCATCCATCCATCATCCATCCATCATCCATCCATCATCCATCCATCCATCATCCATCCATCCATCCATCCATCCATCCATCATCCATCCATCCATCATCCATCCATCCATCCATCCATCCATCATCCATCCATCCATCCATCCATCCATCCATCCATCATCCATCCATCCATCATCCATCCATCCATCCATCCATCATCCATCCATCCATCCATCCATCCATCATCCATCCATCCATCATCCATCCATCCATCATACATCCATCCATCCATCCATCCATCCATCCATCATCCATCCATCATCCATCCATCCATCCATCCATCCATCCATCATCCATCCATCCATCATCCATCCATCCATCCATCCATCCATCATCCATCCATCCATCCATCCATCCATCATCCATCCATCCATCATCCATCCATCCATTCATCCATCCATCATCCATCCATCCATCCATCCATCCATCCATCCATCCATCATCCATCCATCATCCATCCATCATCCATCCATCCATCATCCATCCATCCATCATCCATCCATCCATCCATCCATCCATCATCCATCCATCCATCCACCATCCATCCATCATCCATCCATCATCCATCCATCATCCATCCATCCATCCATCATCTATCCATCATCCATCCATCCATCCATCCATCATCCATCCATCCATCCATCCATCCATCATCCATCCATCCATCCATCCATCATCCATCCATCCATCATCCATCCATCCATCCATCCATCATCCATCCATCACCCATCCATCCATCCATTCATCCATCCATCATTCATCCATCCATCCATCCATCCATCCATCCATCCATCCATCATCCATCCATCAATCCATCCATCCATCCATCCATCATCCATCCATCATCCATCATCCATCCATCATCCATCCATCCATCCATCCATCCATTCATCCATCCATCATCCATCCATCCATCCATCATACATCCATCCATCCATCCATCATCCATCCATCCATCATCCATCCATCATCCATCATCCATCCATCCATCCATCCATCCATCATCCATCATCCATCCATCCATCCATCATCCATCCATCATCCATCATCCATCCATCCATCCATCCATCCATCATCCATCATCCATCATCCATCCATCCATCCATCCATCCATCCATCCATCATCCATCCATCCATCCATCATCCATCCATCCATCCATCCATCATCCATCCATCATCCATCCATCCATCATCCATCCATCATCCATCCATCCATCATCCATCCATCCATCCATCATCCATCCATCCATCATCCATCCATCCATCCATCCATCCATCATCCATCCATCCATCCATCATCCATCCATCCATCCATCCATCCATCCATCCATCCATCCATCATCCATCCATCCATCCATCCATCCATCCATCCATCCATCCATCATCATCCATCCATCCATCCATCCATCATCCATCCATCCATCCATCCATCCATCCATCCATCCATCCATCCATCCATCATCCATCATCCATCATCCATCCATCCATCCATCCATCCATCCATCATCCATCCATCCATCATCCATCCATCCATCCATCCATCCATCCATCCATCCATCATCCATCATCCATCCATCCATCCATCCATCATACATCCATCCATCCATCATACATCCATCATTCATCCATCCATCCATCATACATCCATCCATCCATCCATCCATCCATCCATCCATCATCCATCATCCATCCATCATCCATCCATTCATCCATCCATCATCCATCCATCATCCATCCATCCATCCATCCATCATCCATCATCCATCCATCCATCCATCCATCATCCATCATCCATCCATCCATCCATCCATCATACATCCATCCATCCATCATACATCCATCATTCATCCATCCATCCATCATACATCCATCCATCCATCCATCCATCCATCCATCCATCCATCATCCATCATCCATCCATCATCCATCCATTCATCCATCCATCATCCATCCATCATCCATCCATCCATCCATCCATCATCCATCATCCATCCATCATCCATCATCCATCCATCATCCATCCATCCATCCATCCATCCATCATCCATCCATCCATCCATCCATCATCCATCATCCATCCATCCATCCATCCATCCATCCATCATCCATCATCCATCCATCATCCATCATCCATCCATCATCCATCATCCATCCATCATCCATCCATCCATCCATCCATCCATCCATCCATCCATCCATCCATCCATCCATCATCCATCATCCATCCATCCATCCATCATCCATCCATCCATCATCCATCATCCATCCATCCATCCATCCATCCATCCATCATCCATCCATCCATCCATCATCCATCCATCATCCATCATCCATCATCATCATCCATCATCCATCATCCATCCATCCATCCATCCATCCATCCATCCATCCATCCATCCATCCATCCATCATGGCTGAATGACCTTTGCTGATGTCATCCTCATCACATTATGAAGGCGAACACCTTAGAGCTGCAGCCACATATCAGGCTAATGTGCTAAAACGGTGTCAGTCCAGAACATGATGTCATCAGGTTGTGTAATGATATCGTATCCATGCTCCCTGTTTTCCCATGTAGGTCAGCGCTGTTCTCCCAGCATCAGAGCTCATTAGACTCATGGGACCTGAATTCATTTGACTGCTTTGTGTTTTTTTTTCTAGCTCCAATAAAGAGGACAGCTCTCCAGACTCCAACCTGACACTGGAGTCTGATTCCAGTGGCGTCTTTCTCTCCTTATCCAATCAGAGCCAGGAGGATGCTGGTTCTGACAGCGACCAGCCAATCAGTGGCTCTGAACTGGGAAGCAGCAACACATCGCTGGAGAAAGATGGGGAGGATGGAGGTTTGAAGGAATGGGGAAGAGAGGAGAGCTCAGAGCTCCAGTGGTGCTACCCGTCACTCCTCAACACTCCCTCAAATGAAGACGTGGATGGATGTGGGGTTGGAGAGGAGTCAGGATGTGCAGAGAGAGGCTTAGATGAGGAGGAGATAAAGACCAGGAAGATCCCACCAGAGCAAATTGACATTATGGCGTCATTCAGTGCTATACACAGGGAAGAGCCTCCGCCCAGGAAAAAGGTGACCGTTATGGGAGTAGATCCTCCTCTTCCTCTGTCTCCTTCTAAGCAACAAATCAAACACCTTCTAAATCCTTACCAGAAACCACTTCGAAGCTCAGGACTGGACTGTGGGGACCTGGATCCCTTTGTCCAATCAGATAGCTTTGTTTATCTAGCTGTGTCTGCAAGATCCCCCTCCAAGGGAGAAGCTGCTGCAGAAAAAGAGATAACTACCCATAATGCAAAGCAAGATAATGTAGGGAAACAGTTAGAGGCAAATGTCCAGCTACCAAACATGGAGGCCGACTCCAAGATGGGTCACCTGGCCCCTCTGAAACCAGAGGAGGGAGACTTTCTGTGCACTGACAGCTTCGTCTACCTGGCTGCTCCAGCATGCCTCCTGTTGGGCCCCGCAGGAACCACAACCTACAGTGGCAAGTAGGTCTGAGTGGATGGACAGGCACCAGCCTTCACTCTGGACATCCATTAGAACATCCAACTAAACAACCACCTAAACATCCACCTAAACTTCAATCAGAACATCCATCAGAACGTCCGTCAGAACATCCACCTGAACATCCATCAGCACATCCATCAGAACATCCATCAGCACATCCATCAGAACATCCACCTGAACATCCATCAGAACATCCATCAGAACATCCATCAGAACATCCATCAGAACATCCATCAGAACATCCATCAGAACATCCACCTGAACATCCACCTGAACATCCATCAGCACATCCATCAGAACATCCATCAGAACATCCATCAGAACATCCACCTAAACATCCAACTAAACATCCACCAGAACCTACATCAGAACATCCACCTAAACATCCAACTAAACATCCACCAGAACCTACATCAGAACGTCCAACTAAACCTCCATCAGAACATCCATCAGAACATCCAACTAAACCTCCATCAGAACATCCATCAGAACATCCAACTAAACCTCCATCAGAACATCCATCAGAACATCCAACTTAACATCCCACTAAACGTCCATCAGAACGTCCAACTGAATGTCCATCAGAACATCCAACTAAACGTCCATCAGAACATCCAACTAAACATCCAACTAAACATCCAACTAAATGTCCAACTAAGCACCCAACTAAGCATCCATCAGAACATCCAACTAAACATCTAGCTAAACATCCAACTAAACAAATAACTAAGCATCCATCAGAAAATCCAACTAAATGTCCATCAGGACATCCAACTAAGCATCCAACTAAACGTCCATCAGAACAGCCAACTAAACATCCAAATAAACGTCCAACTAAACATCCAACTAAGCATTAATCAGAACATCCAACTAAACATCCAACTAAATGTCCATCAGAACATCCAACTAAACATCCAACTAAGCATCCAATTAAACATCTAACTAAACATCCATCAGAACATTTAACTAAACATCCAACTAAACGTCCATCAGAACATCCAACTAAACATCCAACTAAACATCCAACTAAACGTCCAACTAAGATTCCAACTAAGCATCCATCAGAACATCCAACTAAACATCTAGCTAAACATCCAACTAAACAAATAACTAAGCATCCATCAGAAAATCCAACTAAATGTCCATCAGGACATCCAACTAAGCATCCAACTAAACATCCAACTAAACGTCCATCAGAACAGCCAACTAAACATCCAAATAAACGTCCAACTAAACATCCAACTAAGCATCCAACTAAACATCTAACTAAACATCCATCAGAACATTCAACTAAACATCCATCAAAACATCCATCAGAACATCCAACTTAACATCCAACTAAGCATCCAACTAAACATCCAACTAAGCATCCAACTAAATATCCAACTAAACATCCAACTAAACGTCCAACTAAACGTCCAACTAAACGTCCAACTAAATGTCCAGCTAAACGTCCAACTAAACGTCCAACTAAACGTCCAACGAAACATCCAACTAAACATCCATTAGAACATCCAACTAAACGTTGATCAGAACATCCAACTAAACATCCAACTAAACAACCATAAGAACATCCAACTAAGCATCCATCAGAACATCCAACTAAACCAACTAAATGTCCATCAGAACATACAACAAAATGTCCATCAGAACATCCAACTAAGCATCCAACTAAACATCCAACTAAACATCCATTAGAACATCCAACTAAACGTTTATCAGAACATCCAACTAAACAACCATAAGAACATCCAACTAAGCATCCATCAGAACATCCAACTAAACATCCAACTAAATGTCCAGCTAAACGTCCAACTAAACGTCCAACTAAACGTCCAACTAAACATCCAACTAAACATCCAACTAAATGTCCATCAGAACATCCAACTAAACGTTGATCAGAACATCCAACTAGACAACCATAAGAACATCCAACTAAGCATCCATCAGAACATCCAACTAAACGTCCAACTAAACGTCCAACTAAACGTCCAACTAAACGTCCAACTAAACATCCAACTAAACATCCAACTAAATGTCCATCAGAACATCCAACTAAGCATCCAACTAAACATCCAACTAAATGTCCATCAGAACATCCATCTAAGCATCCAACTAAACATCCATTAGAACATCCAACTAAACATTGATCAGAACATCCAACTAAACATCCAACTAAACAACCATAAGAACATCCAACTAAGCATCCATCAGAACATCCAACTAAACATCCAACTAAATGTCCATCAGAACATACAACAAAATGTCCATCAGAACATCCAACTAAGCATCCAACTAAACATCCAACTAAATGTCCATCAGAACATCCAACTAAGCATCCAACTAAACATCCAACTAAATGTCCATCAGAACATCCAACTAAGCATCCAACTAAACATCCATTAGAACATCCAACTAAACGTTGATCAGAACATCCAACTAAACATCCAACTAAACAACCATAAGAACATCCAACTAAGCATCCATCAGAACATCCAACTAAACATCCAACTAAACATCCAACTAAATGTCCATCAGAACATCCAACTAAGCATCCAACTAAACATCCAACTAAATGTCCATCAGAACATACAACAAAATGTCCATCAGAACATCCAACTAAGCATCCAACTAAACATCCAACTAAATGTCCATCAGAACATCCAACTAAGCATCCAACTAAACATCCAACTAAATGTCCATCAGAACATACAACAAAATGTCCATCAGAACATCCAACTAAGCATCCAACTAAATGTCCTACTAAATGTCCATCAGAACATCCAACTAAATGTCCTACTAAATGTCCATCAGAACAGCCAACTAAGCATCCAACTAAACATCCAACTAAATGTCCATCAGAACATCCAACTAAGCATCCAACTAAACATCCAACTAAATGTCCATCAGAACATACAACAAAATGTCCATCAGAACATCCAACTAAGCATCCAACTAAATGTCCTACTAAATGTCCATCAGAACATCCAACTAAACATCCAACTAAATGTCCATCAGAACATCCAACTAAGCATCCAACTAAACATCCATTAGAACATCCAACTAAACATTGATCAGAACATCCAACTAAACATCCAACTAAACAACCATAAGAAAATCCAACTAAGCATCCATCAGAACATCCAACTAAACATCCAACTAAATGTCCATCAGAACATACAACAAAATGTCCATCAGAACATCCAACTAAGCATCCAACTAAACATCCAACTAAATGTCCATCAGAACATCCAACTAAGCATCCAACTAAACATCCAACTAAATGTCCATCAGAACATACAACAAAATGTCCATCAGAACATCCAACTAAGCATCCAACTAAATGTCCTACTAAATGTCCATCAGAACATCCAACTAAATGTCCTACTAAATGTCCATCAGAACAGCCAACTAAGCATCCAACTAAACATCCAACTAAATGTCCATCAGAACATACAACAAAATGTCCATCAGAACATCCAACTAAGCATCCAACTAAACATCCAACTAAATGTCCATCAGAACATACAACTAAGCATCCAACTAAACATCCAACTAAATGTCCATCAGAACATACAACAAAATGTCCATCAGAACATCCAACTAAGCATCCAACTAAATGTCCTACTAAATGTCCATCAGAACATCCAACTAAATGTCCTACTAAATGTCCGTCAGAACATCCAACTAAACATCAGTCAGAATATCTCAATAAACCTTCAACTAAACATCAATCCCTCCATCCATCTCATAACTATTTGTTTTTTAAAGTCTGTTGTTTTTTATTTGTCAGACGTTTTTTAGACTTTAATTGTTTTGGTTCTTTTTTTTCCAGGGAGTCCGACTCTGAGAGTTCTGGTTCTGGGCCGGTTGATGTCTCATTCCTGGGTTGTGGCTCTGTGGCAGGGGACAGTGACTGGGACTCGGACCTGTCTGACTCGGATCCCAGTCGTTCATCCAGAGTCTCAGCCGGGGGCCTAAAATGTGCTGGAGCAGGACGCTCCAAGAGAGCGCCGGCCGAGTCGGACTGGGACATGTTCGGAGATGCTACCGAACCCGAGGTGCTGGGAGAGCTCTTTCTGGATCAGGACAGAAGCAGCAACGGGAAAACCGGGCAGATCACCAACAGGCCGGCAGCAGCTGAAGCTGCAACGGAAAGTTGCTCCGAGTCTCCAACCCTGAAGACGGAGACGTCCTCGGAGCAGATGTCCACATCAAAGAAGGTGACCTGGCAGTTCAAACCGGCCCAGAGGTCCGTCTGCACCGGAAGTAGGAAGGAGAAGGATCTGCCTAGATTACCAGAAACGGGTGGAGGTGACGGCCACAGACCCTCCCCTTCATCCTCATCATCTTCGTCTCCGTCTTCATCGTCCTCAGGCTGATTCCTCAGAGGAAGGTTGGTGTAGCTCTGGGACACGGAGCTGAAAAGCACCTGATGATTCAATGGTTTTTCTTTGCGTTTTGCTGCTGCAGTTGCCTTCCTCAGCCTTGTACTCGCTGCATAAGAGTTGTTGCTTTTTCTTAGATTAGCCGACAGATTCTCATCTCTACATTAGTTCAGCTTGATGTGAGACTCGCTGCTGCCGGCTTTTGGGAAAACAGGGTGAAATGATTCATTTAATCTTTATTTATTCTCTAAACTGTAGTTTTGGGGCTTTTCTCTGTTAAACTGCATCATGTGAACAAGCAGAAAGAGGTCGACCTTCAAACTCTGCTGCTCATGTTTACGCTGTATTTTATAATCATATCCAGATTTACAGTGTATTTAATAGTGTTTAATAATATATTTTGATCTTTCAGATATAGATAAATATATATATATAAATATCCCATGTACTGAATGTTTGCAGAAGAATGTTTTATTCTTCATCTAGACTCAGATAGTGAATGTTATCTTGGAGCAATATGCCTGGAGGTTCCTGCTACCTTCCTTCTCTGATTATTTCTGGCATATTTAGCATAAAGCAGCCGTGGGTTTGGTCAACCTGCAGGAAGCTTTGGCTGCTCAGATCCGTCTGGGAACAAAACCTTTCTTCTTTCTTCTGAATTCAAATGAAATAGAAATAAATCTACATTCAGCTTCTGATGGGTATGATGTGCCATTAATCCACAGCAACAACCTGCTGCTGGATTGTTTCCTCCTTAGTTTTCTGATCCACACTGGCTCAAATGTAGGCATACATTAAACAGAATCAGGACCCGCTAACTTCCGACTGGAGCTGATCTACGCTCTGTGCTTTGGAACGTCCAGGAACATCGGGCTGAAAGAGAGATGTGGGTTTACTGTAGGCGGGAAGGTTATAAGGCTGCAGGCTGAATTCTGTTTGAAGATCAACATCTGCTGTAAATATTGAGTTCTCAATCAACCAACCAACGTTCTGCCTTTTACTTCCCACCCTCACCTGTACTGTCCATCTCCAGAGGACATCTGTCATCCCTTCATCCACTCTCCATCTCTCTCAGACACAAACATCCAGATGTTAGTGGACGAATTCAGAGCCAAATATCCACATTCTGCTCCGAACCAGATCCCATCAGATGGGACGGTTCTGTTGCTGACTGGGTGAACTGGGACAGCTGGGTTCAGGGGTTAAAGGGGTGATAGAATGATTCTATAGGGTATCTGGTCCTTCAGGTATCTAATAGGGTGATAGAATGATTCTATAGGGTATCTGGTCCTTCAGGTATCTAATAGGGTGATAGAATGATTCTATAGGGTATCTGGTCCTTCAGGTCTCTAATAGGGTGATAGAATGATTCTATAGGGTATCTGGTCCTTCAGGTCTCTAATAGGGTGATAGAATGATTCTATAGGGTATCTGGTCCTTCAGGTATCTAATAGGGTGATAGAATGATTCCATAGGGTATCTGGTCCTTCAGGTATCTAATAGGGTGATAGAATGATTCTATAGGGTATCTGGTCCTTCAGGTCTCTAATAGGGTGATAGAATGATTCTATAGGGTATCTGGTCCTTCAGGTCTCTAATAGGGTGATAGAATGATTCTATAGGGTATCTGGTCCTTCAGGTCTCTAACAGGGTGATAGAATGATTCTATAGGGTATCTGGTCCTTCAGGTCTCCAATAGGGTGATAGAATGATTATATAGGGTATCTGGTCCTTCAGGTCTCTAACAGGGTGATAGAATGATTCTATAGGGTATCTGGTCCTTCAGGTCTCTAACAGGGTGATAGAATGATTCTATAGGGTATCTGGTCCTTCAGTCTCTAATAGGGTGATAGAATGATTCTATAGGGTATCTGGTCCTTCAGGTCTCTAATAGGGTGATAGAATGATTCTATAGGGTATCTGGTCCTTCAGGTCTCTAATAGGGTGATAGAATGATTCTATAGGGTGTCTGGTCCTTCAGATCTCCAATAGGGTGATAGAATGATTATATAGGGTATCTGGTCCTTCAGGTCTCTAAGAGGGCGATAGAATGATTCTATAGGGTATCTGGTCCTTCAGGTTTCTAATAGTGCGATAGAATGATTCTATAGGGTATCTGGTCCTTCAGGTCTCTAATAGGGCGATAGAATGATTCTATAGGGTATCTGGTCCTTCAGGTCTCTAATAGGGTGATAGAATGATTCTATAGGGTATCTGGTCCTTCAGGTCTCTAATAGGGTGATAGAATGATTCTATAGGGTATCTGGTCCTTCAGGTCTCTAATAGGGTGATAGAATGATTCTATAGGGTATCTGGTCCTTCAGGTCTCTAATAGGGTGATAGAATGATTCTATAGGGTATCTGGTCCTTCAGGTCTCTAACAGGGCGATAGAATGATTCTATAGGGTATCTGGTCCTTCAGGTCTCTAATAGGGCGATAGAATGATTCTATAGGGTATCTGGTCCTTCAGGTCTCTAACAGGGCGATAGAATGATTCTATAGGGTATCTGGTCCTTCAGGTCTCTAATAGGGCGATAGAATGATTCTATAGGGTATCTGGTCCTTCAGGTCTCCAATAGGGCGATAGAATGATTCTATAGGGTATCTGGTCCTTCAGGTCTCCAATAGGGTGATAGAATGATTCTATAGGGTATCTGGTCCTTCAGGTCTCCAATATGGTGATAGAATGATTCTATAGGGTATCTGGTCCTTCAGGTCTCCAATAGGGTGATAGAATGATTATATAGGGTATCTGGTCCTTCAGGTCTCCAATAGGGTGATAGAATGATTCTATAGGGTATCTGGTCCTTCAGGTCTCCAATAGGGTGATAGAATGATTCTATAGGGTATCTGGTCCTTCAGGTCTCTAATAGGGCGATAGAATGATTCTATAGGGTATCTGGTCCTTCAGGTCTCTAATAGGGCGATAGAATGATTCTATAGGGTATCTGGTCCTTCAGGTCTCTCATAGGGTGATAGAATGATTCTATAGGGCATCTGGTCCTTCAGGTCTCTCATAGGGTGATAGAATGATTCTATAGGGCATCTGGTCCTTCAGGTCTCTAATAGGGTGATAGAATGATTCTATAGGGTATCTGGTCCTTCAGGTCTCCAATAGGGTGATAGAATGATGATGAATGCAGCCTGGTTAAAAGCCCTAGAATGAAACCACAGGTTTCTTCCTTTTATGGTTTGATCATTAATATTTTGATGAGCTGTGCTCTGATTGGTTGGTTTACAACGAGCCAAGCTGCTGGGCAAAGACGCATCATAGCAACAAGCACTCACTCACTGAAACATCAGATTGTTGATATGGTAGGGGGACCAGACGTCCTCTTTTTCCTGGACGTGTCCTACTGTAAAAAAAAAATGTCCGGGGGGGGAATATCTTGGTCGACTACAGTGCAGCACGGAGTCGCAGTCGACACTGCAGAGAAAGGAGGTGTTGATGGGGTTTGAACTTCTCTGTACGTCCATTTCACCCACTGAACTATCGTTATTCATCTATGACAACTCAGTTTGCATTCTATGAGCCCTTTAACTCACCTGCTGGGTCTGATGGAGCCCCCTGGCTCTTAGAGCTGGAACTACCACTGAAAAACAAAGATGGTCCCTTTTTAACCTCCTTAGAAGATCAGAAGGTTTAAGGTACTTTAATCGGCTGAGTCATCCTTTTAGATCAAACAGAATAAAATAATTGGATTCAAATCAATAAATCATTTGAAGTTAAATAATTTCAAAATATTTTATTTCTACGACTGAAATGGAGAAATATAGAAGGAAAAACAGAAAGAGTGACTGATGATGCTTTTTTAGAACAGCAAACTCACTACCAGCACCAGTGAATCAATTCCCATTCCACTTAATTCACTTCTATATCACTAATTCACAGCAGATCATCTCAAGGCTCTTTATAGAGAAAATCCTGTTTATCTCAGGAAAAATCAGTGGACTTTCAGGAAATGATCCTCCTGGATGAGCTTGCAATGACAATTTTCGCTTGGATTTTGTCATTGACTCTTCAGCAATCCCTCACACTAAGCATGCTTGTAGCGACAGTGGAGAGGAAAAACTCCCTTTGAACAGGAAGAAACCTCCAGCAGAACCAGGCTCAGTGTGAGCGGCCATCTGCTGAGGCCCACTGGGGTTCAAGGAGACAGAAGCAGACATAGAAAAAGAAGTATAGATACAAAAAGCAGCAACAAAAAGGCGGCCCCGTCCAGGAAACACACAGCCAAGCAGACGAGTAGATTCAGAGCTAAAAAAAAAAACCCGTAATATTTGGTGGAAAGAACCCTAAAAGCACAGAGGGAATCTCCTCACCTCTGTGCAGCTGCATCTGTGTGGCTGGTCCATCAGTGGCTTTCCTGCAGGGATACAACTAATCCAGAACCGGGAGGAAACACCATTAGTTAAAGATAGGCTCTCTGTGTGTGTGTCTGCACCTTGAAGCTCTATCTCTCACACACTCAGGACAACAATAACATTTAATAGCTTATAACCAGGAGATATGACCACAGATTCTGATAGAAATTATAATCTTACTCAATTCACTTCTATTCAGTGTATTTCTATAGCTCCAATTCACATCATGTCATCTCAGGTCACTTTCCAGTTCACCAGATCATCCAGTCAGATTGATTCAAAGTTTTCTATCTAAGGAAAACCAGCTGATTGCATCGACTCATTGACTCTTCAGCAATCCCTCACACTAAGCATGCTTGTAGCGACAGTGGAGAGGAAAAACTCCCTTTGAACAGGAAGAAACCTCCAGCAGAACCAGGCTCAGTGTGAGCGGCCATCTGCTGAGGCCCACTGGGGTTCAAGGAGACAGAAGCAGACATAGAAAAAGAAGCATAGATACAAAAGGCAACTGTCAACCAGCTCCACAGGCGGCCCCGTCCAGGAAATACACAGCCAGGCAGACGAGCTCCGAGCCAGCTCCCATGTCAGAGGATGAAGAGAGCACATCCAGTTAGTCACAGTCAGAGAAACAGGACTACACTGGAAAACAGGCCAAGCTCCAACATCTAGAAACAAAGGTGTTGATGGCAGCAGCACAGCTGATATTTCTCTCCAGGATGGAGTCACAGCCAAACAGGAACAGACCAGATGAAGCTACTATGAGAAAAAGCAGAGAGAGCAGAACGTTAGAGATTGAACTAACAGATTCTGCAGAGTGGGAGAATAGAGATAGAATGAAGCAGAATGATGAAAAAGGGGTCCCTATGTCCTCCAGCAGTCTAAGCCTATAGCAGCAGAACTATAGAGATAGATCAGGATAACCTGATTATTCTGGATTAAATATGAGAAAGGTAGAAACAGGGAAGCATCAAACCATATCCAGCCAAGATGTTGGTCATTTCTCAGCACCAAACAGGGAAGATTTATCCTGTTCAGTGGAGAAGGTCCAGATAAATGTTTAGACTTAACCGAATGCTACAGCAATGGAAACCCCTGCTGATGGAAGCTCACTGGGCCTTCAAACTGCATCAGAGCTAATCACACAATTCAATCTTTTTATTGTTCAAAAACCAAAACCCAGAACCTGGGCTTCAAACTGCACCGTTACACCCTGATAGGAAGGAATAAAACGCCTAAGATGTCAGAAGTCTGCATCATGTACCTGCAGCTAACAGTCCATCACTAGCACCCATTGGTCCAGATTTTTACCCAAAAGCTTTAATAATTCAAAGAAATGTAATGGTTGATGTGATTTATGAAATAAACCATCAGAGGTGCAACTATTCTGTGCTGAATGTTCAGGGGCCCTTCTGGCCCCAGATGGGGTTGAGATGGATCCCTGGAGGAGACTAATGTACGCTGTTTTAATTTATGATGAAATGCATTTTATATCTTTATGTAATGGTTCTGCTGACAGTTTGTCATCAATCTGTGGGAAGTTTAACGAGGATCAGGCATCTAGTTTCACTGTGACAGACTTTGGACTAACGGCCAATCACATTCTCCGCTCAGTGAATTTGTAAAACCTGCCTGATGGCTGTCTGAGCTTTGTGGCGATCAGCCTTTTTAAAGGGGGCAAAATATGAATGATGTTAAAAATCTTTATTTCTGTGTTTCATTTTCCAGAATTTGTTGAAATGCATTAATATTCAAATAAATAAGCTGATGGTGAAACCTTTCTCTCTCGTTTTATTTAATGCAAACACAAAGAGCTATAAATACCTTCAGGACAAGAAGTCAGGTGGAAATCATAGGTGTAATTAAAGGAAACGGCTGAAAGTTGAATTCTTCAGTGCTAGACGTTCGGTAT